CCCTACATGTGAAAGGTAATTCTGTCTTATTTTGTTTGGACAGCTGAAGTGTTAGAATATTTCCAAGCCGCAGAACTACAAGGTATTTTGCATTCTCCTCTCTGCCACCTCCAATATGGCGGCAACATGGTTATGCCGTTTGCTTCCAATAGCACGTCAATGCTCCATGGGACCGATTTCCAATAAGTAAACAGGCGATGACGTAATCATCATGCGCCGGAACCGTGAGCGCTGTTAAATCCATTTAGCTGAGATTTTAAGAAAGCTTCTTACAAACTGTGCTGCTTGTGTGTTCGTGTGATGATCAGGTCTAATTCAGATCCTAGTCTTCCTCTCTTGCAGAACCCGTCATGATGTTAGAGGAGGAGGATTTTTCAACGAAACAGAGCCAGAATGAAGACTTCACGGCACCGGACGGACCGTGCTGGCTGTCGGTTGTGTTCTGTCTGCTGCTCGCCTGCTCTTATGTTGGGAGTTTGTACGTGTGGAGGAGTGACCTGCCCAGGTAAGTCTGTCTGTTCGCCTGTATATTTACAAACATTTGGTTTCTTCACAAGGCAGTGGCTGAAAGTTGGTTTGTTAACCAAATAAAATAGGTTTCTGTTTAAACAATGTGATTAAAAATCATTAAGAACTTTCTAATAAAACAAAGCCAAGCTCGATTAATAAATAGCCAGGAAAGTTAAGGGTTTTTAAAATGATAAACTGTTGCATGAATATGTTTCTGAAGTTCCTTTAACAAACGATGTGAAAAGTTGTCTTTCTGACACAGGAATAAATGCCTGAGCCAACTAAGGAGGTTTAGTTTTGGTTTGGTAATGTTTGTTTGTACGGAAGCCGAGGGCAGACTTTTTCCACATATATTTTTTCTCTTGGTTTCCTCGAGTGTTGTGTTAAGTTGTTTGAAAATTTGGTATACTATGGTAAATAATTCCCCGTGGTTAAACTAGTTCCACTGCAGTGGTTGAGTTAAAGGTTAAAGTAGTCCATAGGGTTTACTCACTCACTGGTCAATAAGTAGATCTGGTGTCTCTAACAAAATCTAAATAAACAATATAAGTGTCACCCCTTCTCCTCACTCACTACCATATCACTTTAGTATACACATAATGTTATGAACAAACAACTACACTCACCGGCCACTTTATTAGGTACACCTGTCCAACTGCTCGTTAACACTTAATTTCTAATCAGCCAATCAC